CACTAACAATCAAAGAGAAACCACTAAGCCAAGCTTACAATTTTTAATGGATTTTTCTAGTTAAATAATTAAATTGGGTATCTTTAACTCCAGCTTTATGCACTTTTCAAGTAATAAGCACAACAAAATGGTAGTGAGATGGTTCATGGGATATTCACACAAGGATATAACCAAGTAAAAAAGAAGAGTCGAGTGAATATTGATAACAAAAGGCAACAACAAACAGATTGCAGTGAAAATCAAAAGAAACAGTGTTAATAGTGATGGTAAAAGCCAACAATTAACAGATTGCAATATGTAACTTCCAACACAAAAAAAGAGAGGTGATTTTGCTATTAAACTAGATTTGCACATAAAATTGGTGAATAGACAAGAACAATAACACTTAGCACAATGTGACTTCCGCTACAACATAGAATTTAAAGCATGAGAAATTTAATTGCATATCGCAGATAGGAATAAAAACTAGACCTCAAAGATTTAAAAAAAAAAAACAATTGATCTATGAAATAATATTTTGCACATCGCAACACAATCATGGAACTCAGATCCATAAACTTCAATCAAGAGAAACAGTGAGAAAGAGAAGGAGAGAGATTGACCTAAATTTTGCAGAGAGAAAGAGGTAAACTAGACAAAAGAGCAAGAAAAATGACAACAAAACTTTCCAAAATTATAGAAATACATCATCAAGCATGAGATTCATACCTACTATGCTTCGAAACTCTCAATCACTACTTAATTTTCAGTGAGATCAAAGACGATGAAGAAGGGGAGGAGAGGCGAACAGAGGTTGGCTTGGGTTTATCGTTTTGGGGGCTTACGGTGAAGTTGGAGAGGCAAGAGAGGGAAAACAAAATAAATAGGAGAGTGAAGATTGAGAGGCAAGAGAGTGGAAAAAAAAAGGAGTGACCGCTCGCATGTGAAGTGATGGAAAAAATAAATAAATTCCCGCGGCATGTGTTCGTGATCCTGAAGTTTCGCTCTCCATGGGGAGGGCCAGAGGGGTGTGATCCTCATTTTTGAGGATGACACACATTTCACACCTTAAAAAAGTACTTAACCGAACTTAGAACCATGGGTTGGTATTTGGGATGCCTTCCGACAAAAGTTCCAATTCTCAAACGTACCCTTAGAGTATTTTCAACCTTAGTCTAAGTGTTGTGCATGGTTAATAGTGGGGTGTAGCCTGATATGGGCTTTCTATACGATGCATTAAATGGAGCTACTAGAGAGATAGTTGAGGCTTTGGGCAATGATGAGAACAATTACAGCCCAATATGAGAGAGAATAGATATGAAATGGGATATGCAGCTTCATCAAACATTGCAAGTGGGTACAATTTAAACACAAATTTAAGTTGACCTGAATATTGAGAGCGTGGAGACGATGAGAGTAGTGCTCCAAATTTACAAAATGCAGCCATCCTAGTATTGAGTGTTTAGCATGTAGCTCAATTGGTCGTAAGAGCAATTGGAGTTCATTTGAGATGGTAAGTTTACAATATTAACTACTTCATTTTTCTTTGTCTAAACTAAATTCTAGCTCATGCATTTTCCTATAAGTATATACAAAGAAAATGAGTAGGATTGAGCAAATGCAGCCCAGTGATTTAGTCTTCATCAAGTACAATCAGAGGCTGAAGCAGTATTTCAATGAACATGAGACGGATATCAACGCATCCAAAGACATGGATGATGCCAATGAGTGGTTCGTTGAAGACCTGAGACTGAATAGGTCTTCCATGGTGAGGGTTTGTCCTGACATATGGTTGAGGAGGCTTCATGGCCAGCTTCCAACCCTACGAGGGCCACTAGATCAACAACCTCTACTATTGGATCACAGAGGAGGAAAAAGAGGATGCGGAGGAGGCGGACAATTCCAAAGAAACTGAGGAACGCCATTATGTTGAAGAAAGTGACGATTCTGATGATGATGGCCTTGGCCTAGATGGAGGTGATTGGAACAAAGCTAATGACTCCGACTGAAGACTCAATTGTTCTTATTTCTTTTGCATCATTTTACTTTTATGATTTTCAGTCTTTCATTATAATGTGCTTCGGAACCTTGGATTTTGGAACATACATGGAGATTGGCCTCTACGAACTATGGACTTCTACTATTTTAGTTATTCAGATTCAAATTTTGAGTACTTTATGTATATGTTAGCTTTATGTTTAAATTTATATACTGTCTTTAGTCTTTTACTCAATTAGGCGTTGTGGTTGTTAATTAATCAACTTAGTTTTAACGGTCACTACTTATTTAGTACAATTGTAAAATGTCAAATGTGAACGTCTATTTGCATATATACGTGGTTAGTATACATATAAAAGGATAAATACAGAAAAAACGACAGATAAATTTGAATATATGTGCATTTGGAGAGCACATATATACATATGTCTATCTAGGACATCTCAAAGCTTGGGCACCTGCCTAGCGCCAAGAGCCTAGCACCCAGAACCCCCTACCCACCTAAGCGCCGCCAATGGCTTTTTTGGAACATTGAATGCAAGAGAAATTTACAATTATCTGCGCCCGTTTGCAGGTTTACCATGGGTGAGGTGGGACTTTCATGAAAGATGGGAGAGGCCTAGGGTGTACGGTGTAGAGAGGGGTAGATTTACTGGATTCTAGGATGCAGTTGACTCTCCCTGGGAATTACCCCTGCTGCTGACTTTCCTGGATTCCGGGATGCAGGTGAAAATGGGTAGGGTGAAAGCTGGAAACCCTGTTTGATAAACTGTGGTACTGATAGTTTCACTTGTTTGGCAATGGGAAAGCTGGAAACTGCCTGCAATACTGTTAATCATGTATTTCATTGATATAATGTGCGAAATGCAGTTTTTTAATAACATTTTGTAATTAAATAAGGTTCCTTCCATTCATCCAATATAATACCAAAAATGTAAATAGATTCAAGGAATACTTTTGTGCTTGGAGATTTCATGAAAGTGTGAACCCACTCTGATGCTACCAATATTTACATAAATAAGAAACAAAATTGAAGTTCTTAATATCAAAATTTCACTCAATGCACAGGCAGCCTTCAAGAGCAAACATATGCCAGTTATTTAAGAAATAAATATTTAAATTAAAAGTTTCAAGGCTAATCATTCCATGATTTTAGAAGATTTGCGTGATTTTACAAAAGCAAACTTAATTAATCAAAATGGTTTCTTCAACACAAATTTATAGGATATTAAAAGAGGACATGAGATTACGAAATAAAAATAAAATGATATGAATATAGCATTTAAAGCCCACACCATTTTCATTCCTAAATACTATGTTGGCTCCTTTACCCATGAACAAAGAAAGAATACTAACAAACTCATTCTTCATAAACTGAATGCAATATAAGCATGTCAACCCATAGTATTGTTGTGACATACCACTGATTTATAACATGGCTAAATGACATAATTCAAATAGGTCTAGCTAACTATCAGATACACTCGAAGCTTCTAAGCTCTCATGGATCAAATGAACATAAGTCAAGCAACAACCATATGTTGGGTGAACTCCAAGCAAACAATGGGCTTTCAAGTATGTTATCTTTGATCTGCTCAAACCTACATATATAGATTTTAAATGACAGGCAAGTCAAATGTGGAGTAGCATCATTCCAATTGACACTGCTACTGTTGCAGCAGTAATGGAATTGAAAATTGGTCACATAGTGACTAATAAAACTCGATCAAGGGACATGAATTTAGTCACATTCCATCAAGTAAACTATGCAAGATCCTATGCTTTTAGATCATACAGTTTAGGTCAATAAACCTGTTCAAGTAAACAGCATCTACAGTTGTTGTTGTCTATAGCAGACCAGCAGCATATGTATTGTTGATCAATGCAATTTGTGTATCAATTTCTGAAAATCATATTATGGTTGATAAAATCTAGAACAACAGAGTTTTCTTTCTTTTTTTTTCATAAAATATGCCTTTTTTTAATGAAGAGGTTATGAAATTCAAAAGTCAGGGTATTGAAAGACATGACGGGTATTCATACATACTAACAAAATAAATCCAAATTTACTGTAAATGTATTTTTCAGAGTTAGTTAAATAAATCCATACTCCAAACACTTGATCTTCCATCAAAAAACACCTCTGTATAGTGATAAAGACCACGTAAATGAAGGCAAAAATACTTCAAAATCATAGAGAGTCTACATCTAACAAAATAATTTCTATCACAAACACAATTCCTAGTTTATTCTAAATCTACTTTTTAGAGACAGTTAACTAAATTGACACTAGATCTTTTATATCCCCCATTAAAACCCGAAAACCTTAAGTCATAGAGGTTATTCCCCTAATTTCTTCAATGATTCAACTATTCTTCCATCTAAAAAATACATGTTATAATAGAAAAAGTGTAAATGATAAACAAAAATTTTAAAAATACCTGCTTGTCAATTTCTATCACAGACAAAAAACCAAATTCACTGGAAATCTACTTTTCTGGGACGCCCATGAAATAAAAGTGCTCAAATAGAAGGTACATCACGTGGTAACCCGAAACTTTTGAAATTTCGTTAAATTTTCGTATGGGTTTCTAGGAATAGATGAACCAGGAAATTAACAAAATAAAGCAGTATAGTGCCCATTTTTCAGTGTTTCTATCTGTCCAATTACATGTTTTAGATAAAATTTGCCGAAAGTTCAATAACTATTGCATCAGCTGTTAAATCCATAACAAATCCTAAATTGAACAATCAAGCAATCCAAAATTAGGGCTTCGGAAGCTTCTCTGTCTAAAATGTACAATTTCTGCTTCAGTGAAATCCATAGAAAATCCCAAATTGAACAATCAAACTATTTGAAAGTAGGGCTTTGGAGGCCTGTGGAACAAGGTTAGGGTTACAATGCGTGAAACAGGGATAGGATTTGCATATATATTGAGCGGAGAAGCACGAAGAGAAAGATTCCCTAATTTCATCACTATTCTTGCATCAAAAAGATAAACAAATTTGTTTTAAAAAAATACCTGAATCTCTCAGCTCTCTCTTTCTAGTCTTCTTTGCAGCCTTCTTGAGCTTGATTGATCTGTCTATCTGCTGATGATGGGCTGGCCTGGTGAATGCTTCGAAGGTGCCTTTCAACTCTCCATTTTTCTCTCTCTAAGCCAATTGCTCCCCTTTTCTCTCAAGCCAATTTGTTCTCTTTCCTCCCCACCCATCAGTTTGTGTATCTATTTGTACTCTCTCTCGTTGATCATGGTAACGCTCTTCTTCAGGTTCTGTACTCTCTCTCTAATGGGCAAGCTTTCAATGTAATGCTTCCCCTTGAGCTTAGAAGTCCGACCGTCCTGAATCGAGGTCTAGGATTCTCTACACTATTTTATTTTTAATTATTTTTTTATAAAACCGTATATTTTTTAATTAAATAAAATATCAAAATACTTTAAAGTTTGAAAAGGTATTTTGATTATTATATTTTATTAAAATTTTATTTTTAATATTTTTTACTGGTGCCTCTCAATGAGAAGATAACCGGTACCAAATTTTAGATTCATACAATTTGTATAAAAAAATTAAAAATAAAATATTTTGAGACGTCGGATCTAAGATCAAACGGTGAGAGACTCTCTTGATCAAAATTAGACAGCTAGATGGTAGAGGGAGGAAAGAACTTCTATACGGCAGGGGAAGCCTAGAAACCTTTCCCTTCTCAAATGATGAGAGTGTGCTTTGAGGGTGTTTTCTCAAATTTCAACTTTCCATCTCTCCAAGCCGCTTGATCCCCTTCTCTTTCTCTTTTGAAGTCCCCAATAACTGGGAAAATTGTTTAATGCAGTGGTGGTCTATCTAAAAATAATTGAAACTAACAATCCAAATATTTTTTAATAGAAATATTATTTTCAAAAATTTAAAATTTAGTTATTTTTATATATTTATGATCTTCATGTTAGAAATTACATGTCCTTAAAAATTAGGTCTAAAAATCCATCTCAAAAATAAATTTTTAAGAGATGACTCATTTCTACATGGACTCATAGAAACCATATGCATTGTGCTAAACCAACAAGAAACGCTGCATCTTGCTCAACCTCGTTATATCTTCCTCTCACATCATTTATAAACCTTAAAACCAAACCTAAAATATCTTCTCTTCTTAACCTCCATCCAAATCTTTTGTACTGTCTCTTAAATTTCAAAATAGGTAGTTGTAAGAGTGTCATTGATATCTAATGGAGTAGTTGTAAGAGTGTCTATGAAATCTAATGAGTGAGAATGATTGTAACCTCTATGTACGAAAGATAAATGGCCTCCCTGTAGACAATCCATTTTTCAAATTGTTTAATAATCTAATGGGGTAGTTGTAAGAGTGTCATTGAAATCTAATGAATGGGAATGATTGTATCCTCCATATATGAAAGATAAATGGCCTGCTTGTAGACAATCCCCAATTCAAATAAGTTGAAGAATTTGTTTTTTTTAAAGGTGTTAATGAGGTGGTGTCAGTGGGTATAGAAACGACGACATAGTGACTAAGGTGTGGGGCTGCTAACACCACAACCTAAACCCTTTTCTGAAAAACGTTGTTCTTTTTGAGATATTCGTGGTGGGAATGGAGGGTAGGACATTATGTTGGACACTGACCCGTGTGTCCATTTATGAAATCGATACGAGTGTCAAAGACATGAAGCCTAAAAATTAGCATATTGAAAATAATATAAAAGTATTTATATATATACATCTTTCTATATATATATATATATTAAAAAAAAATCTCTTTACACCCTATTTTGATTTACCATTTTTCTATAGACCAAAAGTTCTAAAAACTTTGTAAAAATATATATCTTCTAACCCTTTGACCCAATTTAGCCCTTTTTACAACTCGAATTTTGCTCAAACAAAAACTAAAAAGATATCTCTATTTGTCTACTAAACCTCTCTCTAAAGTTTTTATTTCCCTCTCTCTCCTACATAGATAGAGACAGAGTCGTTAGAAGCGCATTAGCGGATAATGGCTAGTAGAGGGAGATTCTCTTAATGTGATTAATTGGTGTAAGTATGTTTCCAAACCGCCTCGGACATTAAGAACTCTTTGGAAAGTGATGGACTTCGCTTTTGGATTGAACAGTATTTTTTCGCATGTATATAGGGTGGCAAATGGATTGGCTGGCTAGGTGGTGGTTCTTCGGGGCTATCCTCAGTGGTTTCCAATTCTATTGAGTGATTGTTGTTGACTTGTTGATCTTGGCTTGTATCTCTCGACAGAATTTAATAAATTGGAGTAACATTTTTCCAAAAAAAGTGTTTGAAAAACATATCTCGAGATTATATAAATGGAGAAAAAAAAGAGATTTCAAGTCCTACAAAATAGTGTGGACCCATTAGATCATCTGGATACAAGAGGAAGAAATGGTGATTAGCTCTATGAGAACCTTTATGGCTAGCAACATCAGGTGGAGTGTGGGACGGAATGTGGAGCGAGGTGATGAAGTTTTATTCTGGCATCAAAGATGGGCCTCAAGAAATGCGCTGACATTTGATTATCCTGACTTGTTTCATCAATGCTCATATGCAATGGCTAAGATCAATGAGATTGGTGAGCTTAATGGTAATGCAGTGTTCTTGAATATCACTTGTTGCTATAACTATATTCCTCCAGTGGTTTTTAACCAACTGTCTGACTTGCTTCAGCGGTTAGCTAGTGTGTATATATCTACCCGTAAATGATGAACTCATTTGGGAACTTGAGATGATACAAGAAGAAGATACAAAGTACTCTACTTTTTTTTCGTCTCATGTGGTTTTTTCGTCTCTCATCCCAGCCGTTGGCTTATTACAACTCCATACGCGTTGAGGCATACTCTACTTTTCTTTTTATATATAAGTAATGATCCTATGCGACCCTCTCACACCTATGTGTGTAGGACCCTAAATGATCACCATTAATTTTAGAGATCTATGCTAAATTTAAAGGTGGTCCCTTGAGGTCCTACACACATGAGTAGAGGAGGGTCTCAAAAGATCATTACTCTAAAGATAGTTTCCTTATTTTCGAATAATATATATAAAGAGTAACGATCATATAAGACCCTCCTACATCTATATGTATAGGACCTCAAAGGATCACTATTAAATTTGACACAGATCTCTAAAAAAATTATTACATGAGTGTGAGACTTGACTTTTCTAGATATCTGTATCAAATTTAATGGTGATCTTTTGAAATCCTACACACATAGATGTGCTAGGGCCTCTAGGATTATTACCCTATAAATATAATTCTAAAAAATATTAAGGTACTTTGCAACAATCCTCCTCCAAGAGAACTGTGAAAGGGACTATGACAATGCTCCTCCTAGAGAAAGGGACACTGTCAAATTCCAAGAGACATTTTCCCTTTTTTTTTTGGTCCTATAGGGTGAGCCTCACTAGTTCGTCCCTTGACGGCTCGGATCCCTTGAGAAGGATCTTAACGGTCTCGGTCCAAATTAGACATTTGGATCTGGCCATTAATCTAGATTACATATGCATTTCCCAATAGTCGTATTACTTGTTTGGATGGGACAACATTTTTGTAGTTTGCAATTCAAACCTAGGGACTCCCAACCGCCGCACCGGTGGTATGAGCGCAACCTTGTTGGACCCACTCCCATTGTTTATGAAAATGAAGCAAAATAATCCATCACAATCACGCAATACAAATGTACATATTCTTCAAATTTTGGTGATCTGAAAATCTACGAAATCTAAAAATTGGTCAAAAGGAGAATTCGGATGGGCCCGTCGAACCGGAATCAGTGGGTGACATGCTTGACTACTTCATTGGATAGGGATGCAAAACTAATTCATCTTAAATTTATATTTTAATAGTTTTGATGTAAACATAGTTTTTAGATTGATTTGAGAATCCTAAATCTTGCTTAAAAACTTTACAAACAATGAAAATTCAATTGATTTACATTTTACATTTGTATGTTTTTTTAAAAAAAATGATTGGCTGTGTCGACTGCTTGCCGATTTGAACACTGTTAATTAGTTGTTGGCAACCGGTTTGACCCACTGGCCTGATCTTTGAAACACAATGATTTGTTCTTTTATTTTAAAACCTCGGGGTGCATACTGTACACTTACTCCATGGGGGTAAAGACTTAGTTAAAGAGGATTTTCATGATCTAAGGTTTTATTAGATCGGTGTTTGCATAATCGATCTGAAATGGTTAATAAGACTTAGGGCCGGAAACGGTTTAATCGGCTTAAATCGGGTTGATTCAACCTTTCTAACCGGGCAAGCCCCGGGCGTTCAAAACATAGTTGAAAAAATAAAAAAATACAAAAAAAATCTGGTAAAATATGAAAAACATATAAAAAATTATTAAACCAAAAAAAATTCAAATGAAGTTGAAATTTAATAAAAAATTGGATTTTAAAGAATTGATTTGTGGATAGCGTATTTTAAATTTTTTTGAAAAAGATGGAAAAATATGAAAGTGAGTATTAATGACCCAAAAAATTTCTAATCTTTGCAAAAAATGTAAAGAATATTAAAAAATGTATTACAAACCAAATTATTTATTTTTGAGATTTTATAAACATTTTTGAAATTTTATATACAAAGCTTGGGTTCAAAAAATATTCTTAGCCAGGGTTCTACCCGAGGGGATAATTGCACATTATACTCCCCCAGGAGCTGATAATCTTTGGACATATACAAATAGGTTATGGATTATACTTATCATAGGCTATGAATGAGAAACATTAATAAAAGAAAAAAATTTATATAAGGGTGAGGCTCTAAACAATCAAATTAATGCGCACCTAAAAAATTTATCGAAATAAGTTGTTTCGATGCTAAGAGAATAAATAGATTTCGAGGATATGAAATAATGCATCTTGTAAATAGACGGCCAATTTTCAAGTGGTTAGATATATGCTCCGTCGACACTATTTTTTAATATTTAAACTATAGATGAAAATTATTTTTTCAAATGTTGTTTGCATGAAATCATTGCTCTTAACATAATTGTTTTCACAGTCAAACCGAAATTGAAATCGACACGGTTTTGGCCAACTGATAAAAGCAAAAGAGGCCCCACTTCACAAAGACAATCAATCCCATATTCAAAATTTGTGCGATCTTTAATGGACCGTACTCACCAACACCAACTATATATAAGGTCCCCTTCTCTCCCTCACCCTCAACACCAAGCCTCAAAACTCTGAAAGCCTCAACAACCAACCAAAACACCATGTCTTCTTCTTGTAAGTATATACTGGCTTTCCTCTTCCTGTGGCTATGGAGTCATTGTGCTCAAGGCGACACCGTGTCTTTTAGGCCTAAGGCCCTTGTTGCCCCAATCGTAAAGGACCCCTCCACCCTGCAATACTACACCAACCTTAGCCTCAAGACACATCTCAGATCCGAACGCCTTGCCTTTCACCTCGGTGGCTCCTTCCTGTGGATCGATTGCGACAACTATGTCTCCTCCACCTACCGCCCGGTTCGGTGCCGCTCCGCCCAATGCTCGGCCGCCCGCTCTCGTGCCTGTGGCTCGTGCTTCGCCACCCCGCGGCCCGGCTGCTCCAATGACACATGTGGGGTTAGCCCTTACAACCCCTTCATACGCACCTCCACCGGCGGCGATCTCCTAGAGGATGTGTTGGCCATTCGCTCAACTGATGGCAAAACACAAGGCCCACAAGTCACAGTTCCGCACTTCCTCTTCTCTTGTGCCCCTGCCTTTCTCACCGAAGGCCTCACCGGCTCGGCCAGTGGCCTAGCCGGGTTTGGGCGAGGTAAGATCGGTCTACCTGAACAACTCGCGGCTAAGTTCAGCTTCCGGCGTAAGTTTGCTGTCTGCCTCTCGGGCTCATCCACGTCCCCAGGCATTGTCTTCTTTGGTCCCGGACCATACGTGCTGCAGCCTGATAAGGATGTTTCTCAGGGGCTCATCTACACGCCATTGCTACTGAACCCAGTGAGCACTGCCGGGTCCTACTTCTTGGGTGAGCCATCTGACGAGTACTTTATCGGAGTCAAGGGAATTAACATTGTCGAGAAGCCTGTTACGGGCCTGAATTCTACTCTGTTGAATATCGATTCTGAGGGCAATGGTGGCACCAAGATCAGCACCGTAGTCCCTTACACCATGCTCCAGACCTCCATCTATAAGGCCGTGACCTCAGCCTTCGAGCGAGAGGCAACGGGCATGGGCATGAAGAGGGTTGCCGGTGTGAAGCCATTCGAGGTATGCTTCAGCTCGAAGGGTGTGCCGAGCACGAGGGTCGGGCCAGCAGTGCCCACCATCGACCTGTTGCTCGACAATGGCAAGTTTTGGAGCGTGTTTGGTGCGAACTCCATGGTGGCCACGAGCAACGGTGCCCTCTGTTTAGGGTTTGTTGATGGAGGGGTGAGCCCAAGGACTTCTATTGTCATTGGGGCGCACCAGATTGAAGACCATCTTTTGGAGTTTGATCTGGCTTACTACAGCCTAGGGTTCAGCTCGTCTCTTCTGTTCCGCCAGACCACATGTGCAAACTTCAAGTTCTAGAGTGTAATAATTTCAAGCATTTTCAGTTGTGCTCCCTCTACACGTGTGAAAATAGTGAGGGGGTATAATAATGAATTCTTAAGGTAAAATATCCTGTTATCTTTTTTTTTAACTTTTATATCTCATCACATCTAAAAATTGAAAATATTATTCTGGCTCAATCTTTTTCATCTTTCAACTCCTTGAACTCTTTTGACCGTATATTATTGATCTCAACAACATATTAAACGACTCTATCTCTCTTTCTAAAACTCCATCTCTCTCTCACATCATCATCTCAACTTCATCACATTTTAAAACCCAAACTCCATTTCTCTCTCTATCTCTCAAAACTCCATATCTCTCTTTAAAACTCAAGCTCCATATCTCTCTCTCTAAAACTTCATCTCTCTCTAAAACCCAAACTCCATCTCTCTCTCTCTCTAAAACTTTATTTCTCTCTCACACATAAGTAGATGTGCTCATGTTCGAGCTCAAGCTAAACCCCTTGGTTGATAAACTCATCGAGAAGCGAAGAGAGAAATGGAAGTTTAGAGAGAGAAAGATAGAATTTGAATAGGGTGTCATTTAGTGTTTGTTTGGATAAAAAATTTATAATCAAAGGGGTCCAGGAGGTTGTAAGATAGAAAAAATAAAGATATTTTGCTTACAAGTAGTATTTTCAATTCTTAGGTTTCATGATATATGAAAGTTAAAAATAGGAGATACGGAGATATTTTCTCAATTCTTAATGTGATTGTTAGTGCAATTGTGAGTTTATATATCAATAGTAATAAAGGAAAAAATGTTAGTTTAATTGTGAGTGTATGTATAAATTATAATAGGAAAAGTTTATATAAGGTTGCAACCTTAAAATGTAGAACTACTGATGCACCTCAAAAATCCATCGAAAAAATGTTATTTTAATGTTGAAAAACCATGTGATTGATCATCTAGACATCGAGATGTATGACTATGAAAAATAAAAAATATTTTGAGTCTAATAAATAGTGCATTTTACAACATATTATCTACACCGTCCATTTTCAAGATTTTCATAGGTTTATAGATCTACTTGATTTTAACCATTTTTGAAAATTTTAATTTTATAATTAGATATAAAAATAGATTTTGAGATAACTCTAAGACCATTTTACATGAAAATTATATATTATGATAAATTTTGAAAGTGCACTTTAATTGGATTATTTGAGGTTGCAACCTTATGGAAACCACACCTATTATAATAAAGGAAAAGGGAAAGGTTTCTATAGTTCCCCTACAGTAGTCACTCACCGTTAGATCTTAGATTTAATGTCTCAAAGTATTTTATTTTTAATTTTTTTTATACGTATTGTATGAATATGAAATTTGGTACGTGTTATCTTCTCATTGGGGCGCACCTATAAAAATATTAAAAATAAGTTTTCTATAAATATAATGACCAAAATACCCCTTGAATATTTCAGGGGTATTTTAGTCGTTTTTATTTTATTGAAAATATTTTTTTTATACTTTTCGCTAGAGCGAGTTTAATATAGGATTGAGCATCCAAAATTTGATGTCAAAATAGTTTAAAAAAAATAATTAAAAATAAAATAGTGTAGAGATATGACATTGTGATTGGGGCAATCTTAGCCTTCCATTCATAATGGACGGTTTGATAAGGGGAAGTATATAAGTTTTATGTGGTAGGGGAAGCATAGAAAGCTTTCCCAAAAGGAAAAAATGTTAGTTTAATTGTGATTAATCTTTAAATTCTAATAAACCATAAAAGAGAGATCTTAGTACACGTGGGCAGTTCCAAGTAGGTTCTTTGATTTTTGATAAAACCCCAAACAATCAATAAAGACAAGTTATGGTATATATACTTCACCTACATCTCATCACCGTCCAAAATTCATCACAATGTCACTTTTTTTAGTAATATTTGAATTTTTATAATATTTGTACTCATCAGATTTATCTAAAATTTGGAGAGTGTGTACATATGACCAATTCGCACCAAAATAAAATATTTAAAAAATAATAGTTATAAAATAAAATGATAAAATTACCCTTGAAACTTTATAGAGGTATTTTACATAATTTTTATCATTCAAATTATTATTTTAATTTTTATTCATGTGTATCTCACTAAGGTACACACACCTACACAATTTCAGATCATTACGATTTGTAAAAACTAGTATTTTAAAAAACGGCGAGTCCCAACGGACTCGTTCGAGTCAACACGAGAATCGGCCACCCCATGTCAATCCGAGTCGACATGGGAATCGGCCACCCCGTGTCAATGCCAGTAAAATACACAGGATCGTCCGGTTCTAATCGTCCGAGTCGACACCTTTTTAATAGTATTGTAGACTACACCTTAAAATATTTTGTATTTTAAATTACTTTTTATTGTTATTTTTTAAAAATCCAGTCCAATTGAGTCGTATGATAATTGAGTCCGTTGTAACTAAGAGTTGGTATTGCATTCACATCATGTAGATGCTTCAAAGGTGCACATGTATGTATTGTTTAATGGCTCAAATTGAATCATGCTCGTCCAAGGGCCAATAATGAATTTGTTTTTTTAATTTTTATTTTATATTTAAAAATTATTTTAATATGAAAATTTGGTTTTAGGTTTATTTTTATAAATAAGATTGAATAAAAACTAATAAAAAATATTTTTTAAATAAAAATATTAATTAAAATAAATTTAGAGGTATTTTAGTATTTTTTTAAAATATTTCTTAATTATTTTTATTTAGTTATATTTATAAAAATACATATACACATCAAAATTCATATAAATATTTTTAAAAATAAAAATTAAAATAAAAAACTAATTTTTCGAAGTGCAGGTTAATAAATATGTGTTGATGTGAGATCTGAACGTGATGTGACCACACCACCCCTGGACTCCATAAATAATAAGTGGCAAGAAAGTGGTAAACACCCGCGGCGGCGTTTTTAGTGGCAATGTAGGCCCAAGCTTATCTTCAAATGGGCCCATCCAAATCGCGACACGGTCAAAACTTTAGTGCTCATCGGTGGACCGTGCGGACGAGAACAGTATTTATAGACGCCACCCCCACCTCCATCTTCTTCACACGGAGCGAGGCTCAAAAAAAAAACCGTGTCTTCTCCTGGGCAACGATCGTCGTCTTTCCTGTTTCTCTTGTTCCTGGTATGGTGTCATTGTGGTGAAGCTGAGACGGTGTCTTTTAGGCCTAAAGCCCTGGTAGCCCCCATTGGTAAGGACCCCTCGACCCTCCAGTACTACATCACCCTTGCCCTCAAAACCCCTCTCAGATCGGAACGCCTCGTCTTCAGCCTCGGCGGCTCGTTCCTGGGGATCGACTCCGACACCTATGTCTCCTCCACCTACCGCCATGTTCAGTGCCGCACTTCCCAGTGCGTGGCCGCCAGCTCGGGCGTGTGCTGCTCTTGCGGCACGTGCTCTGGCCCCCGGAGCCCCAGCTGCGGCAACAACACTTGCGTCGTAGGCCCTTACAATCCGTTCATCAGCACATCAACTTCGGGCGACGTTCTGGAGGACGTGCTCGCCATTCACTCAACGGATGGCAAAACACGAGGCCCTCCAGTCTCAGTCCCCCACTTCGTGTTTTCCGGTGCCGGTGCCTTCCTCACCAAAGGCCTCACCGCCTCAGCTCGTGGCGTGGCTGGGCTTGGGCGCGGTAAGGTTGGTCTACCTGCTCAATTGTCAGCAAAGTTCCGCTTCCGTCGTAAGTTCGCCGTCTGCCTTTCGGGCTCGTCCACATCACCTGGTGTCGTCTTCTTTGGGCCTGGGCCATACGTCCTGCAGCCCGACAAAGATGTCTCTCAGGGGCTCACCTACACGCCTTTGCTCCTGAACCCAGTGAGCACCTCTGGAGCTTTCTTCCAAGGCCAGAAATCGGACGAGTACTTCATCGAAGTCAAGGGATTTAACATTGGCGAGAAGCCGGTTGTGGGCCTGATTTCTACACTACTGAAGATCGACTCGGAGGGCGATGGCGGCACCAAGATCAGCACCGTGGACCCTTACACCATGCTCGAGACCTCCATCTACAAGGCCGTGACCTCAGCCTTCGTGCAGCAGGCAATTGGCATCGGCATGGAGAGGGTGTCGGGAGTGAAGCCATTCGAGGTGTGCTTCAGTGCCAAGGGTGTGCCGAGCACGAGGCTCGGGCCAGCAGTACCCACTATCGAGCTGTTGCTCGACAATGGCAAGGTGTGGGGTGTGTTCGGCGCCAACTCGATGGTGTTCACGAGCAACGGTGCCCTTTGCTTGGGGTTGGTTGATGGAGGGGTGAGCCCAAGGACTTCCATTTTCATTGGGGCGCACCAGATTGAAGACGATCGTTTGGAATTCGATCTGGCGTACTCCAGGCTAGGGTTCTGGTCCTCACTTTTGGCCCTTCAAACCACGTGTGCCAACTTCAAGTTCTGAAGTGTAATAATTTCGAGCATTTCGGGTTGTTAAAAGCTTCAAGAATATCGTGAATCGTGCATGACTCAGGATTAGGACTTCTTTTTTATCCAATAAAAGGAGGGGAAAGGAAACCCTCCGATTTCTCCTCCCTTGTATGAATTAAATGATGTGCGTCACTTCGCAACTAGCATGCCCTCATCTAAATAGGCCGTTGGGATTGCTACATATCAAATCTCACAAGGCAGCTTTGATTGTCTAATTTTATTTGAATTTTCTTTGGGTGGATCAAAGTATTTTATTTTTTATTTTTTATAAATAATTCAGAAACAATATTTTGGGTACGTCTTATTCTCATAGGGATGCATCTTTTTTTTTTAAAAAAAAAAAGGAAAAACATTTATGACAAAAATTCAACTGCAAGTTATAGGCGTATTTTGGTCCTTTAATTTTATCAAAAATAAATTATAAAGTTTTTGGTGTGTCCTCATGGTAATGGAGCACCCCTATCTTTAATGTCAAGATAACTTATATATAATATTAAAAATAAACCAGTATATAGCATAACAAGCTATCTCAGTTATCCATTCATATTAGACTCCATACCTCTGGAAAAGGGGGGACATATGGAGTTTATTTGTGGATGGAGACATGTAGAAAGTCGGCCCTAAAAAGAAAAAAAATGTGAAGTGTAATTGCAAGGTATGTATAATAAAGCACAAATATTGGTCATTGAATACTTTTCTAGAGATGAATTGTGAATATCTTTGTAGGAATCAAGCTTGAGACACAGTGCTATTAAACACCAGCTACTACTAACCACTCGAGCCCAAGCCCGATTCTTGTGAATAGCCTTGTTACATACACAAATAAAACAAAAGGAAAAAGAGAGAGAAAAAACTAAGATTCGAAAGAGTGGAACTATGCTCCTAGTGAAATTTACAATGAAAATATGGTACACACCATTGTTGGTCTATGGTACACTGAGGGGACATGGATGTTGGGTTCATGTGGCCTTTAAAGGTCTTATGAGTGCTTGTAAAATGAAATAATATAGTAGAACATGAACTTAGAGGGAGTGTGGTCCCTCGTGGACCATACTAAGCAAACGATATTTGCTGATACTGGATTGTGATTGACGATCTAGGCCAGTTAGTTGGAAAATCCAAGGTATTTGGGCATAGAGAACAAACCGAGAAGGGTTCTAGGTTATCCCTTGATGAGGTCGGAGCTTACGCCTGGATGAATGAGTCGAGAGACTGTGTGGCCCTTGTGTGTGATGGTGGGTCTACAAGACGGGGGCCAAAACCTCATCTATGATCCATCACACAACATGCATATCGATAGATCGTTCGAAAAAGCCAAATATCCACCCTTTTAGGGTGAAGCGTAAGCATGTGCGAGAGATACCCCTATGAGCTATAGAGCTCTGGTCGCATAAGGTCTTGGTGAACTCGACTTATCTATAAGGGAGGACCTAAAATCCATAGATTGGGATTGCGACCCATTGGCTCATCAACCAGACTTTGGTGACCGCTAATGAGCCACTGCTTGGACTGTGGGTCATGGGAAATATTGGGTCGGTCTAATAAAACAAGTGTGGTTTGTAGTAGCGGCGATGATAATTGCGCCCCTCTATCCAACTTCTTTCTCTCCCCTTCTTCTATCTACCTCTAACCTCTCGTCCCACTGCTATTTGACGCGGGGAGACGACGTTCTCCGACAAAGGTGGGTCCCCTCGACCCACTCGTCTACAAAATAACCATAGAATTGTTGTGCAAAAAAGACAAGAGGACTACAAGTCAGAGGAGGCAATTCCAAACCAGCTCGAATAGCTGGGGAGCTTTCTTCGTGATCTAAGAAGGGGCCCACGCTAGCCAGCCCGAGTAAGTCCCAAACCCAACCCAAATTCCTCTCTTAACGGTTCGTATACATGTCTTTGATCTCGAGCAAGGTTTCGAGAGAGCGATCCCTAGCCACGGGCCTACCAGAAACCCGTGGTTGTGCCGCCCTATCCCTGAGATCCGAAGGGAGAGATCGAGGCACACAACCAGACTTGACTTTCACTTCATGCGTTGTGAGGCAGTAAGAATTTTCTGCGACAGCATAACATCAATATGAGTGTCAAAGAAGTCACGATTCCATAAGAACTCCAAGCACATAAATCCATACTTTTATCACTTGAGGAATGAGGCGAAATTGAGAAAGATTGAGATCCAGATAAACTAAATATTCCAGTGGGAGCACCTGCTAGTATTTGACATGCCAGATGGAACAATAGACTATAATGTTGTTCTCCCATGGAACCCAAATGTGTAGTGCTGGTTGTATGGTTACAAAAGGGAGCAACTTATTTGAGGAACTCTTTTGAGCCTATGAACATACGACCCCATGCGATGATGGTACATGATGGTCTTCTGCGACAATATGTCAATGATTCACTATGCGATGTGAAAGATGAGCTACGACCACTTTTGGGATGAAATTCGAGCAGCAGAGAGAAAAATGTGTTGCCTCTATAAATCTTATTTGTGAAAAGATTTATGGCGAAAGCCATGATTAATGTATTGAGAGAATAAGTAAAAATGCTTGAGAGAGATTGTAATTGGGAGAGAGAGATGAGAATGAGAGAAAATGAGAAAGAGAGAATGTAAGACCTTCAAAGGCCAAGTGGGAGATGTTGGGTTTATGTGGCCTTTAAAGGCATTATGAGTGCTTGTAAAATAAAATAATATAGTGGAACATGAACTCAGTGGGAGTGTGGTTCCTCGTGAGCCATACTACGCATACGATGTTTGGTGATATTGGACTGTGCTTGACGATCTAGGCCAGTCGATTGGAAAATCCAAGGTATCTGGGCATAGAGAACAAACCGAGAAGGGTTTTGGGTTATCCCTAGATGAGGTCAGAGCTTATGCCTGGATGAATGAACCGAGGGACTGTGTGACTCTTGTGTATGATAGTGGGCCTACAGAGACGGAGGCCAAAACCTCATCTATGATCCATCACATGACATGCATATCGATAGATCGTTCGGAGAAGCTAGATATTTACCTTTTTAAGGTGAAGCGTATGCATGTGCGAGAGATACCCCTATGCGCCATAAAGCTGTGGGCGCATAAGGTCTTGGTAACCTTGACTTGTCTCTAGGGGAGGACCTGAAATCCACAGACTGGGATAGCGACCCCTTGGCTCATCGGCCAGACTTTGATGACCCGCTAATGAGCCCCTGCTTAGACTGTGGGTCATGAGAAACACTGGGTCGGTCTGATAAAGCAAGTGGGGCCTGTAGTACACAGTTGAAGGTGGAGTGCTCCATGATTGTTAATTCAATTCTTAAACGTTATGGATCTATTTCCCATCATATTAATTTAATTATGTTTATTTTATGATAGAAATTGTTTTAGAATTATTATTTGAATTTTTATGAGTCTTTTGATATTTTATTTATAATTTTTGGACTTATAAAAATAAAGTTACTGATCTTAAAAAAGAATAAAATTTAAATAATATTTTAAAAATTAATTACATAAAATATCATGGAGGGGCTCATAGTGCACATAGGCCCACCATGTATCAAGTGGGTAGGGCCCACATGTGCCAAACATGGGTGGCATGCCCCACCCATTGGATTCTTTCTTGGAGTTTAAGTTATTTCATATTTTGGTAATATTATGTTATAGCATCTGGTCAAATAAGATATGTAATATTTTGACCATATATTGACCAAATATTGAAAGTGTATATTGACTTGATATATCTTTAGAATATCTTGTGAAAGATTATGGAATGCATAATATTTTAATTCGACTTAATTTATCTAATTTTTATTGATGGGAAAATGGTTAAAGAAAGAGAGATAATGGTCCATGCATCTTCCATAATGTTGATGGCCCATTTATGGAATGGATGGCTCAGATCTCTCACTCCACAAGTCACTCTTGGTTGACGATGGCCTATGTTCAATCTCACAAGAAGAGGCAAGCCAAAGAAAACCCTAAGAAACCCTAATCTTGTTCAAGCCTATAAAAAAAGAATTGTCTCTACCCAAAATCTTTACACCTCATCTCTTGTACCTAATTCCATATTTCTCTCTCACATCCCACTTAGAATCTCTCTCTTAAGAAAAGTTTCTCTCTCACTCACATGGTGAAAGAACCTAAGGGTTTAGGTTATAGAGTTATTCTCTCTCCTATCTCTCAAATATGGATTTATGGCTAAGGGTTTAACAAAAAGTGAATCCTTTATCAAACTAGGTTGCTAAGAGAATTCACCTAGGGTTTGATTTGTGATCAAAGGGGTTCGTGTTCCATTGGTGTGGCTTGGCCGAAATTTGTTTTTTCTGTTCAAGATTGAAGCTAGACCGTTGATCCCGTGCCATCGGATGGTGGTGATTCAGTGTGGGGTGTAATAAGCCCGATTGAGGTAATCTCCGACACTCTTCCTTTTGTTTCTTGCAATCTTATCTTTTATTATCAAATATAGTGCACAGTTATTTCAATGGCATCAAGTTGTTAAGATCTTGGTTTTATTGTTAGTTTTATTTTCTTTGAAGTAATAATTATTATAATAAGACTACTTGTAAGTGATATTTTCCAACAAAAAAAAAAAAAAAGGTGAAAAGAAGAAAAATGAAAAAATATATATTCCTCGACAAAGATCGCATTAGTATTTCTTTCAATGGAATGATACTTGTGTGGTTATATTGTAGCTCATTATGTTTGTAATGAACAGGTAATGGAGAGACGAACCACAATTTTAGGACACGTCGACATGGAATACTTGCAACTAAAAGCTTCACATAAGATATCATTAACACGGTCAAACCACTTCGATAATCCAGAAATGGTCTAATGCACCAACTTATTAATACAATGGTTATTTTTAAAGATTATTCCACTCAAGTACGTTTATTAATGAGTATACAAAATTTGTTTGCTATAGAATTTGCAGACTTGAATCTGAATCTTCCAAAATATAGGAAGATGAGGGGAGCACATTTTTTAGGTTTGAGGCCTTACCCCCACCAATTAGTTTAGTTTTCCTTACTTATATCGGTATTTATTTGAAAAACAGATACAAAGGGAGTCTTGTCAAGAACATACAGTAACCTCATTATCTGGGAATGCTTCTTGACCTTGATTGAAAATAGGAAAATATCTCTGTCTCTCTAACAATGGGGGCACATTGATCGATTAGACCAGGCTAGTGAACTTAAACATTGTTTGGCATACTTTATGAGTACATAGGCACATCAGCACAGGCATATCCTTATTTCCTTCTCATTACATGAACTTGAGAG